GTGGGAGAAGGTGCTTGCTATTTAAGAGGGAAGAAAAATTGTGGGAGATGTGAAACAGCAATTCGAACAAAAGATGCTGTAGACTTGCTGTCCTCTCCCCACCCAAGACACTGTCAAAACGAGGCAGTAGGAAAAGACGATTGGCTAATTTTCTCTCCTCTGATTCAAAGGCCAACACTTTTTATGCTGAGTGAAAATTCTAGTAACTGGCTCTGGACTCATACGTGTTCATGTTTAAATAAAGCTCAATGAATTTTATTATATGCAGTGCTTTTAATTACTGAAGAGGTCTCCCTGGTCTACCTACTATTTGATATTGTAGAATTTTGTAATTAGTGAATATTAAAAGCTTGTCGCAATCTATTTATTGATATTTTTAAAAAGCCTTGTATTTATAATGCGATAAGGTGTTCCCAAACATTGTTCATATGAAACAAAATCTGATGGGCCAGAAGAGCTGTTGGGGATGAATGCTTAGAGCTCCGTTTTAAGAAATATCTCAAAGGAGGAAAGAAACGCACAGAGGTTGAGAGAGGAAATTCCAGAGCTTACAGTCCTGGCAACTGAAGAAAGGCTGCCAATGGTGGAGCAGTAACTTAAGGGGAGAAGGAGAAAATGACCTTTCAGAAGACTAATCTCATTGCAGCACCACTCATGTGATTCATGCTGTCACCTCTCAGTAAATTTCCAAGTTTCGCTGCTGCTTGCCATTTAACCCAAGCATTCATGTATCATTTTTAAAAAATTATTTATTCATGGGATAGGGGCATAATAACATGGGTTATTATTTATCATACATCCCTAAAGGGTAGTTAAGGGTCTGGAGTTCTATGTAGGTCAGTCCAGGTAAAGATGGCAGATTTCCTCCCCTAAAGGACATTAGTGAGCCACATGGATTTTTACAGTTGGCAGTGGTTACATAGTCACCATTTGACCAGTTTAGATTCTAGATTTTATTAAATTCAGATTTCACCATCTGCTCAAGTGGGATTTGAATCCATGAGCCCAGAGCATTAGCCTGGGGTTCTGGAATACTAGTCCAGTGATATTACCACTACACCAATGTCTCCCTCAAGGGCAATAAAATATTAAAACTACTTTTTCTGTCTTGTGGAGCATCCCATATACTTTCCATTAACACACAAAATGCTTTTCCATCTGGGCATCTTGATTGTAACTTTTTTAAAATTTTGTGTATTAGTAAGAGACCATTCACTTGTATTCTCGTTTGTGGTTCCTAATTGTGGCCCCTTTAGTGTATTTTGTATGCTGTAGCTTTACTAATAGGCCAGCAGCATAACTCCACCTCTTATTTTGGAAAAAATAATTTAAACGCGTTCACAACCGAGACCTGAAGCTACGTCGATGACCATGCCAGCAAATAGTTAGGCTTCCTCCGTTAGGTACAGGATGACTGGTTATAAATTTCACTCAGTCAATTGGGAAAGCTCTAGGCTTCTTTTTGAGCCTTCAGCTAGCAGATCAACTGAGACCATCACAATGTGATGTCTGATCTGTGTGCAACATGAAATGGCACTAAATGAAGTGACATCATAGCATAGGGAGGATTGATTAACTAACGGCAGAGACGAGAGATGAATTTCTGAGAAGGGTCCTGACTCAAAACGTCAACTTTCCTGCTCCTGTGATGCTGCCTGACCTGTGTTCCTCCAGCTCCACACTGTGTTGTCTCTGACTCCAGCATCTGGAGTTCTTGATATCTCAGATGAATGGTTCATTTTCAGGTTGTCAAGCTGTCACTAAAGAATGCCATGTAACTCAGTCCTAGGAACTCAAAATGTTTACCATCCATATCAATGATGTGAATAAAGGGCCTGAATATGTGGTAACAACAATATATTGTAGGAATGTAAATCAAGAGCCCAAGATCTACAAAGGGATTTATATAGGTAAAGTGATTGAACAAAAAATTGTCAGTATAATGTGGGGAAATATGAACTTGTCCACTTTTGCAGGAAGAATAGAAAATTCAGTGTATTACTTAAGTGCAACTGTGGAATGTTACAATACAGAGGGATCTGGGTATCCTGGTAAATGTATTTGTATACCATTTAAGGTGATTAAGAAGGTACGTTGAAAAGTAGCATTTATTTTGAGGGGATTAGGATCTAAAAATAGGCAAGTGTTACTGCAAGTTATACAGCCTTTTAATGTAACCACATCTGGAGTACTGTGTACAGTTTTGGTCTCTTTAAGGATGTAATTCCATCAGGAGCTGTTCAGAGAAAGTTCACTTGTCTGGTTCCTGCGATGAAGTGGTTATCTTTTGAGGGTTGTATAAGTTGAGTGTATACCCATTAGGATTTAAAAGAATGAGATCTTATTGAAACATAGAATCTTGAAGGGACTTGACAGGGTGGATGCTGAGGATGATGGAGTGATGTGAAGGACTCTAGAACTAGGACAAACTTTGTTTTTAAAAAATGCATCTCGAGTAAAAGCAGAATACAGTGCTGGAGATCTGAAATAAAAACAAGTTACTGGAGATTCTGTGGAGAGAAACAGTTATCATTTGAAGGAGAGGCGATGGCCTAGTCGCTGGACAGTTAACCCAGAGACCCAGATAATGTTTTGAGGACCCAAGTTCGAATCCTGCTACGGCAGATAATGGAATTTGAATTCAGTAGATATCTGGAATTAAGAGTCTAATTATGTCCATTGTTGAAAAACCCTTCTGGCTCACTAATGTCCTTCAGGCAAGGAAACTGCTGTCCTTACCTGGCTTGGACTATACGTGACCCCAGGCCCACAGCAATGTGGTTGACTTTTAACTGCCCTCTGAGCAACTAGGGATGAGCAATAAATACTGACTGGCCAGTGACACCATCATTCTGTGAATGAAAAAAGAAGTTCAATGACTGTGAAGAGGTGTTATATTGAACTCAAAACATTAACTCTTTCTTTCTCCACAGATGCTGCTAGACCTGCTGAGTTTATCCAGTACTTTGTTTTTATTATTTTAAAAAAAAGGAGTCTTCTATGTAAGACTGAGATGAGAATTATTTTCTTCAAGGTTCATTCGTGTGAAATCCACTTTACTAGTCAGCAGTGGAGGTTGCGTAATTAAAAAACCAATTCAGCCTTGAATATTTTTGACTGATGAGGGTTATGGGGCATGAACTGGAAAGTGGAGTTGAAGCCATGACCTTTTTATTGAATTCGTGCAGACTTAAGGGGCTGAATGCCTTCTATTTCTTGTGCAAAGTAATCATCAAGAAATCATTAGAGGAAACTAAGGAGGGCCTCCTTTTTAAGAGTGGTGCGAATATGAAAGTTGTTATCGTGGGAAGTGGTCTAAATGAATAAGCTAGAAACTTTGAGGTGAAACTAGATAAACTTGAAGGAGAAAGGAGTCGAGGGTTCTGCTGAGAGAATGATCTGAGGAAAAATGAGGCAACTCTTCTGGAGCGTAAACACCAAGCACGATTTGAGGTGGTGTGTGGCCTACTCCAAAAGCAGAACAGATTGTTTGAAGAGCATGTTTTGTAATTAACGTTTCAAATCTTTGAATTAGTGTTTCTAATGAAATTATAGAAATTGAAAGGAGTTCTTGAAAGCCTTTTGAATCATTGTGCAGTTCATGACATTCTGTAGTCCAATTAAGTGCATGAATGGCTCAGAACTCCTCTGGACTGTATAAAAACTGCCAAGTGTCTGTTAGTTGTCGCTGTTCATAGTGAAAATGCGGTATAGGCAAATGCAGGTGCTACATTATTACTGCAGTAACTGCAATGATGAGGGAATTGCTGTTGACCTCAGTACCCATGGGCTAGGCACATGAAAATTAGAACAGTCACTGATTTTAGCGGCATTTGGTAGAGGTAGTGCAAGGCAGAATCCTGCCCTCTAAGATGTGAAGGCTGGAAAATCTAAGACAACTGTTTTTCAAATGGGGCGGAACGGTGGCCCCTCAGCGCCAGGGACCCGGGCTCAATTCCACCCTCTGGCGACTGTCTGTGTGGAGTTTGCACGTTCTCCCCGTGTCTGTGTGCATTTCCTCCGGGTGTTCCGGTCTCCTCCCACAGTTCAAAGATGTGCAGGGTAGGTGGATTAGCCATGCTAAATTGCCCATAGCAACCAGACATGGGGAAATGCAGGGGTAGGGGAATGGGTCTGGATGGGATGCTCTTTGGAAGGGTGGTGTGGACGAGTTGGGCCAAATGGCTTGTTTCCACACTGTAGGGATTCTATGATTCTATGGAAAAAAAAATGCTGAGCTTCTCCCTAAGATTAGTAATCCCTAATGAGCGTAGTCAATCTGAACTGACCTCAATCAGGACAGCAGCAGCTAATTTCTCAATTAGGTGATGGAAAATTTCAGTATTTTCGCTCCTAATCACTGTTAACCCCTGTAGTATTGTATGTACATGTGTTTTGTCAACACAGGATTGTGGCTTTAACTATCAGATGGTATACTGACAAAACAAACCCATGAGTGAGTGCCATAGGATTAGTAGCACCCAATGAATGGTAACCCAGAAAATGCAGAGGAGGGAAATTAGCTAAATATAATACAATTTGCATGGAGTAAGCTATAATCACCCTTTTTGTCTGAGAGACTTGTTCTGTGGCAGTGTTTCTCGAACTTCTATTTTGATTGTAAGGTATCTTTTTCAAATGGTTTGTTGATCCCTGATTTTTCCATCTTGTTTATGAAATTGCACTATGAAACTACTGCATGTGAGATGTTTTAATACCGCTTTTCAGAGCGCAGACATTCACTAATCTATCAATGCGATGTATATGCCTATTTCTCACTCCAGCCCCTCTGTCCTTGCAGAGGTATCGGGAGAGTATGCCTCTGGCTACTACTCATTCTAAGTTCCAAACGAGTCATATTGGACTTGAAACTTTTAACTGTTTCTCTTTCCACAGATGCTGCCAGACTTGAGTTTGCCCGACACTTTGTATTTCAGATTTCCGGCATCGGCAATATTTTGCTTTTATTTGAGTGCTGTTCATTCATTTTGCTCTTAACCATGGCGCACACTCATTATTTTGAAGGGCCTTTTGGCAAGTCTCTATAGACCCCATTGTGAGAGTTAGTAGCAAATGTAAGCTTCTGTGAATCAAGACTAGTAAAGTACATTCCCCATTCTGTGAATAATTTTGCATATTTGACTCTTTGTAAACAGTGAAATGTAATTTGGTGTTCAGTTTGCACTAGCTGCAATCTACTGTTTCCAAGCAGCCCTTAGTTTTAAATAGGATTGTTTGTTAAACAGAAAATCCCATCTTTTAGTTGAAGTCTGTGTTTAGATGACAACCATTTTTTTTTGTGGAAAGAGGTCTTTCCTTAGAATATTCTAGTTCCAATATTCAGTGCCAAAGTGAGTTTAAAAAATCTCCTTTCCATTGATTGTCTTGTGCACCTATTCAAATTTTTATGCATTTGAGCCTTAGAATTATCATGAGTGAGACTGTTTTGCTGCTTCAAGTCATACTTTTAGATCTCTGTAGATATGTTGAGATTCTTGAGTCTTGTGTCTTAAATCTCACAGCCCAAATAGTCAGAGTCGTGTCAGTGACAATTCTTTTCACGTCTTCCACAAATAGCAGTTGATGCTAGATCGGTTAATTTTAAAACTGAGTTTTTGTTAAGCAAAGGTATTAGGAGATATGGGCCAAAGGCAGGTTATATGGAGTTAGGCCACAGATCAGCTATAATCATCTTGGTGGAACAGGCTTGAGGTACTGAATGGCCTTCTCCTGTTCCTATGTTCCCAGTTGTACCTCAGCTTAATTTAACAAAAGTTTTGAGAATTACGTTAGAGATGGTGTTTATGTGGTCAGAGTATAATTTTATTTCTGATGTGATACTTGGTGCTATCAGGAGCACTAGGCATTTATCTTTCTGACTCTAGATTTTTCAGTTGAGAGGACTGAAGGCATTTCAGGAAGTGGGCCTTCACATGATTTGCTTCTGCAGCTTCACCTGCACCCCAGGCATTAGCTGTTTAGACTGCTGAGGCCCTATTGGTGTTTACAATAGCTGTGATTCTAAAATATTCAATGGAGATGTGTAACCAAATCTGCTAATGACAAAAAAGAGAAGCTAACTTGAAATTCAAACTGAGCTGGGAAGCTAATTACTCTTGTAGGACTGAACACTTGAACCTCACATTTTTAGGAATTATTTTTTATTTTGCCCACTACTTGTTGAAGGAGGAGTCAAGTTTCTTTTAAATTTTTCAAATTAATGTTCCATTTTTAATTTTCAGTTCTCCAAGGCCAAACCCAAACCAACCACAGTCCTCTGAAGCGCTCAGTTTCCCTCACACCACCGATCAATATGACAAACCAGTCTGCGGTCAGCGAGTGGATGTCTCCAGAAGACCTACGTACCAGAGCAGTCTACGCCCCATCAGACCATGCACCACTCTCCCCGCAGAGCAGCATAGCCTCCTCTGGGAGTGGTGGCAGTGAGCAGACTGAGGAACAGGGGTCAAGTCGCAACACATTTCAGGAGGAGGGGAGTGGCATGAAAGGTAAGAGATAATGACCAGGTTTTTGGCTCAGAAAATGTGATGGGACAACAGAGTTTTGGCTGAAAGTCTACAAAGAAGTTAGGAGTAAACTGAAAATGGGTGCAATCTTTTCACCCAGACATGGAAAAGCATATCAAAGTGAAGAATAGCAATGAGGATTTTTAAAAGTCTGGAGGTTAGCCTTAGTGAATGTAACTGGTCTGCATTGAGATTAGTCTTTTGCAGTTTGAACCAATGTGTTGGGAGCCCACTAATGCTACCCATCCACAATCAAGGTAAAGATAACTGAGATAAGGTGAATAGTTGGGTTGTTCAGTGCGAAATCTAGTCAGTATTACACTGAATATATTTTAGTTGCTTTGAAATGGGGGTAACGACTGCTTGAGCAGAGCTCTGTACAATTTCCATTCTGCAACGAGCTCTTGTGCTTTGCCAGCACAAATTTTAATTTCACTTATCAGTTTGCAGGAAAGACGAAAACATGTACATCCTTTGATTACTAACTAATAAAACATCTTGGAATAGATACCAGTAACTGAGTATTCCATTTGTTGACCTCGTTGGTTTTCCTGTGAACTGTGGCAGTATCATTTAGTAGCAAAATCCTCCTTGAATATTTTTCCAGAACAGTAAGTGGGAGCATCATGTGCTTAAAACTTTTACTGAAGCTGGAAGTTCAGAATGCTGTTTGGTAGATTGAATAGAAGTCTGAGTTCTGAAGCAAGGTCTGAAAGACCTGAAACATTAGCTGTGTATCTCCACAGTTGCTGCCAGACCTGCTGAGTATTCCCAGTTTTTGTTACTGTTTCAGATTTCCAGTGAGCATTTGAACAAATACGTTTGAAGTTAGGGCACTTTGGAAAGAAAAACTTTACGTTTATGTAGCATTTGTCACATTTCCCAATAATGTGTCCCTTCTCCATGATAAATTCAATTGGAATTGCAATGACTGTTCAGACAAATATGGTGGCCAACAAAATTCTTGCAGGTACAGATGAGATAAGTGATCTATTAATCTATCCTAGAAGGCTTTGGTTGAGTGAAGAATGTTGCTGCGAAACTGGAAGTACTCACTGTTCTTTGAATATTCTACTGGAACAAACAGATTTGGCATTAAAGTAACCTCCTTTCTAAAAGCTGGTTCTTTTGGAATTTTAATACCCTGAAGTTGATGGTTCTTGTAAAAAGGCATCATGGCAGCCTTTGATATTCACTTGAACGGTTATCCGGACTTGTACTCAAAAATGTTGTTAACATACTATTTGGCTAAAGGAGAGGGAAGTTGGGGCAGTCAGATCCTGAACTCCTTTCCAGTGGTGGGTCATTAAATAATGAGCAGGAGTGAACTCTGTGACCGTTCTGGTTGAATTAAAAGCCGTTGTTTTTGGGCAATATTTAGCACAAAGGAAAATCACAAGTGACATCTGTGCGTTTTCAATTTTTTTTGTATTGTGTGGGGTGCTTAAAAGCTGTTTTACTTACCAGTTATGCTGACTAACATGATTGCACTTGCACCTCAACTAAATGTTCACTCTTGTTGTATAGTGCCCAGAGTAGTGTACGATGGATTAGATAAAATCAGGGAAGGCATGTCTAAGTAAACAGGATGTGTGTCAGTAATACTATTTTATGATATCTCATGGGATTACCTGAAATTGTTTGCTTCGAGTCAGACATTGGCATTTCTATTTCAGTTTCTCAACCTATATTTTTTGTCTTTGCTGTCCAATACTTTAAATGACTGGAGGTATTAAAAGGTAATAACCCATCCAAGTGTTAAGATGACATTCATAAAGTGCTGGATCTTATGTGCCTGGTTTGTGACAGTTTAAAATTCTGTTTCTAATGTTGGATGCTTCAAATATGGTTGTTTTCTCATGTTTTTGTTTTATAATCCTCAACTCCCTCTACTTGGAATTTATTTGCCTTTTCTTAACCTAGTAACATTAGGGGTGTTATCAACAGACTCGGTTATATCTCTGGTTCCTCAAGACAGCAAGTGTATTAGGAATTTTTTTGAAAAGCAGGCAGCAGTTTGGGTGAAACTAATTACGTAATGTAGAAAATGTCATCATTTTAGCTTGTCATTCCACTAACTCCCTTCAGTAAGTGCTGAATTAATAAAACCTAAACAAGACAAAACTTATTCTTTGCTCAGATCTCCCAGTGTTGTCACCAGGCTTCTTTTGTGAACTGGTGCCAATGTGTTAGAGGAAGACTTGGAAATATGCCAATATGTAGAGTTTTAATTTATCATATCCAACTTTTTCATTTTACGCATTATCCTTTTGTAGTGCCATTTAGATCCAAACGCTACGTTTAAATACAGGACTGGTTTGGAAGGGCGCATTCTACAACTGTAAAGATTTCTTTGATTATTTTTTGCAGTTCAGAATGCAACCTGTTGCAGGGCTCATGCACCCATCATAACATCATTCTGAAACTGTATGAATGGTAGAGGCTCCTTGAGAAAACTTTGGCATTGTTAGTCAAGGACAGTATTACGGTGGCAGAAAGAACACTTGATGACAACTCGTCTACTGAGGTAGTATGGGCTGAGGTTAGAACCAGGAAAGGAGAGGTCACCCTGTTGGGAGTTTTCTATAGGCCTCCGAAAAGTTCCAGAGATGTAGAGGAAAAGATTGCAAAGATGATTCTGGATAGGAGCGAAAGTAACAGGGTAGTTGTTATGGGGGACTTTAACTTTCCAAATATTGACTGGAAACGCTATAGTTCGAGGACTTCAGATGGGTCAGTTTTTGTCCAATGTGTGCAGGAGGGTTTCCTGACACAGTATGTAGATAGGCCAACAAGAGGCGAGGCCACATTGGATTTGGTACTGGGTAATGAACCAGGCCAGGTGTTAGATTTGGAGGTAGGAAAGCCCTTTGGTGATAGTGACCACAATTCAGTTACGTTTACTTTAGTGATGGAAAGGGATCGGTATATAAAGCAGGGCAAGAGTTATAGCTGGGGGAAAGGCAACTATGAGGCGATGAGGCAAGATTTAGGATGCATTGGGTGGAGAAGGAAACTGCAGGGGCTGGGCACAATTGAAATGTGGAGCTTGTTCAAGGAACAGCTACTGCGTGTCCTTGAGAAGTATGTACCTGTCAGGCAGGGAGGAAGTGGTCGAGCGAGGGAACCGTGGTTTACTAAAGAAGTTGAATTTCTTGTCAAGAGGAAGAAGGAGGCTTATGTAGAGATGAGGCGTGAAGGCTCAGTGAGGGCGCTTGAGAGTTACAAGTTAGCCACGAAGGACCTAAAGAGAGAGCTAAGAAGAGCCAGGAGGGGGTATGAGAAGTCTTTAGCAGGTAGGATCAAGGAAAACCCTAAAGCTTTCTATAGGTATGTCAGGAATAAAAGAATGACTCGAGTAAGATTGGGGCCGGTCAAGGACAGTAGTGGGAAGTTGTGCGTGGAGTCCGAAGAGATAGGAGAGGTGCTAAATGAATATTTTTCGTCAGTATTCACGCAGGAAAAAGACAATGTAGTTGAGGAGAATACTGAGATACAGGCTATTAGACTGGACGGGATTAAGGTTCATAAGGAGGAGGTGTTAGCAATTCTGGAAGGTGTGAAAATAGATAAGTCCCCTGGGCCGGATGGGATTTATCCTAGGATTCTCTGGGAAGCCAGAGAGGAGATTGCAGAGCCTTTGGCTTTGATCTTTATGTCGTCATTGTCTTCAGGAATAGTGCCAGAAGACTGGAGACTAGCAAATGTTGTCCCCTTGTTCAAGAAGGGGAGTAGAGACAACCCTGGTAATTATAGACCAGTGAGCCTTACTTCGGTTGTGGGTAAAGTGTTGGAAAGGATTATAAGAGATAGGATTTATCATCTAGAAAGGAATAATTTGATTAGGGATAGTCAACACAGTTTTGTGAAGGGTAGGTCGTGCCGCACAAACCTTATTGAGTTCTTCGAGAAGGTGACCAAACAGGTGGATGAGGGTAAAGCGGTTGATGTGGTGTATTTGGATTTCAGTAAAGCGTTTGATAAGGTTCCCTATGGTAGGCTATTGCAGAAAATACGGAGGCATGGGATTGAGGGTGATTTAGCGGTTTGGATCAGAAATTGGCGAGCTGTAAGAAGACAGAGGGTGGTGGTTGATGGGAAATGTTCATCCTGGAGTTCAGTTACTAGTGGTGTACCTCAAGGATCTGTTTTGGGGCCACTGCTGTTTGTCATTTTTATAAATGACCTGGATGAGGGCGTAGAAGGATGGGTTAGTAAATTTGCGGATGACACCAAAGTCAGTGGAGTTGTGGATAGTGCAGAAGGATGTTGTAGGTTACAGAGGGACATAGATAAGCTGCAGAGCTGGACTGAGAGGTGGCAAATGGAGTTTAATGCGGAAAAGTGTGAGGTGATTCACTTTGGAAGGAGTAACAGGAATACAGAGTACTGGGCTAATGGTAAGATTCTTGGTAGTGTGGATGAGCAGAGAGATCTCGGTGTCCATGTGCATAGATCACTGAAAGTTGCCACCCAGGTTGATAGCGTTGTTAAGAAGGCGTACAGTATGTTAGGTTTTATTGGTAGAGGGATTGAGTTTCGGAGCCATGAGGTCATGTTGCAGCTGTACAAAACTCTGGTGCGGCTGCACTTGGAGTATTGCGTACAGTTCTGGTCACTGCATTATAGGAAGGATGTGGAAGCATTGGAAAGGGTGCAGAGGAGATTTACCAGGATGTTGCCTGGAATGGAGGGAAGGTCTTATGAGGAAAGGCTGAGGGTTTTGAGGCTGTTTTCGTTAGAGAGAAGAAGGTTAAGAGGTGACTTGATAGAGACATACAAGATCATCAGAGGATTAGATAGGGTGGACAGTGGGAGCCTTTTTCCTCGGATGGTGATGGCTAGCACGAGGGGACATAGCTTTAAATTGAGGGGTGATAGATATAGGACAGACGTCAGAGGTAGGTTCTTTACTCAGAGTAGTAAGGGCGTGGAATGCCCTGCCTGCAAGAATAGTAGACTCGCCCACTTTAAGGGCATTTAAATGGTCATTGGATAAACATATGGATGATAATGGAATAGTTTAGGTTAGATGGGCTTCAGATTGGTTTTCACAGGTCAGCGCAACATCGAGGGCCGAAGGGCCTGTACTGCGCTGTAATGTTCTATGTTCTATGTAATCCTTACAGCATAAAGATGATTTAAATTCTTCTCATTTTTGTGCTATTCGAGGCTGTTTCTTTCTCTCCTGTAGTCTTATTTGCACTGCACCCTTTTTCACCTGCCTAAACTTGGACAGCTGCCAGCGTCCGGCCAGAGCTAGGTGGTGTAAGAGAGTAATGTGTGCCCTGCTGCAAGATTTTGTATATGGGAATGCAATGCAATTTTAAGCTTGCAGCATATTCATTGTTTCAATTCAATAATTTGTTTCTGAGATCAGTTAAATTGATTGTTACAGCAAACACAAAATTGATAAAGCTAATTGGTCAGGAATCCGTATCTGTGGCCATATTTGAAGGTTACATTCAATATTCACAGTAATGAGCTATTATGAGAATATCTAATGAAAGTGTTATGTATCAGGTGGATTAAGAGTGCAATGCCAATGGGTCTGTGTCTTGAACTTTGGTTTCTAACTAATGGGTAACTTTTATTCTCTCAATGGCTAGACATTTGACAACAATTTTTCATTCTCTTCCCTTCTCCATTCTGAAACATGAGAAAAAAAATTGAAAGGTTAGGTACACCAAATCATTGTTTCTTTTTCTCTCTCCCCACCCATGCTGTGTTAGGAACAAGAGAAGGCAATTCCTCCTCCTCAAAATTAATTCCTCTATCATTGCTGCAAATCCTTTGATAGCCATTTAGTAAAAGTCTCTGTTGGTCTTGACCCCAGATATAATAGAAGGAAATTCACCATTTCCCATTACTTTATGGAGAAGTAGTTCCTCATTTCAATCCTAAATTTCTTAAGTTTTAGATTATTCCATCCAAGGTAATGCTTTCTGTGTATCTGCCCTATCAAATTACTTCAGTTACCTCACCCTCTAATCAACTAGACTGAAGGGCGGCAGGGTGAAAATCAGGTTTTGCAACTTGCCCTCAAATTTAACTCCATAAGCCTCATATTTCTGCCCAAAGATCTTTTTGAGATGTAACATCCAAAACTGAATGTACTGCTCCAGTTGGAATCTTACTGAGACCCTTAAACATTGCAGGAAGGCTTCCTTTCCTTTTGTATTTCAGCTCCCTTGATATAAAAACTGGCATTCTGTGAGCCTTTTGATGGCACTGTATCTGCTGCTGCATCTTAATTCCAATTTTGGCCTCTTGAGCATTCACTGCATCAGTGGATTTGTACTCTCACCTATCTAGATCTCCGGTCTGGAATTGCCGCCTTGAACTCCTCCCCGCTCCTTCTAAAATTATCTTCAAAATGTCTTAACTATCCTAATACCACTCTTTTTTTTGTCATTTTTTTGTTTGATCATGCTGCTGTGCAGCCTCTTGAAATGCTTCGCTGCATTAAAGGTGCTATACAAAATTCGAGCTGTTCCACACTAACTTTTAGTGATTTATGTACATGAACAAACACCCAAATCCCTTCCTAACCTTTGCCATTAGGAAAATATTCCAATTTTGCCTGTCTTGGTTTCAGGTTCAATTACATGTCACTTTCCTCACATTGTACTGCATTTGCCATAGTTTAACTGACGTAATCTCTCTGTAGCTTTGTAATTTGCTGATCACGTCCACTTGCTGTATCTCCCACCTTGATGATCAGCTACATTCGTGCATTTTGTTAATGAGTTTGTGAATGTTTGTTTATCTTGGGTCGGACTTGGTTGAAGTTGATGAATATAATGGTGTGATATGAAAATAGTGTGTAATACGTTTTTGTGCTGGCATTTAGGTTGACGCTAGTTAAAATTACTGTATGAAGCTCTGGGAAGCAGCAGTGACTTAACAAAACACTAATTTAAGTAGAGAAATGTTAAAGGACTTAAGTTTGTCCTTTTTAATAAAATAGAAAGCCAAACATTAGCCACTTTAAATTTGAGAGATAATGGAGGAGGTTGACTTTTTAACTGATCCAGTGAACTTATTCCTTGTGAAGATTTCTAATTCCAACAGAGACTAGCTTAAAAATAAGGAATGCTGTTAAGGGAAACTTCTTCATTAAAGCAGCAATCATGTTATGGATAGAGTTGCATTAGGAGGACATCAAAGCAGCCAATATGCGTAAGCTGAAAGCAGCGTCAATGTATTTAAGGTGATTGAGGGAAAAGATGAATAAATAGGGTGAACCATCCAAAAGAGCCTGGTTTATTTATCGCTAATAGCCTTTACCTCCACATTCCCCACTGAAATCTCATGCCATTGTTCTTGAGAAATCAGACTTTTCTCCCCTCTAGTTTAATTTCTGTTTATGGTGGTATATTAACAAGCAGTATGATTACAAAATCCTCGGACTATCAGAAGTGATGAAACTAGTCTAAATTTAAACTTCAGCTGGGGCGTAAAGGCATAATGAAAAGACCAGTTCAAGAATTGGTTAGTTGGACACAAAGCAGAATACTGCTGAAGATCTGAAATAAAAACTTGGTGGAAAGACTGAGTTTTTGAGGGGATTACATACCGCTGCCTGCAAGTCCCCACCCGTCCCCAAACAAAAACACTTACCATCCTGACTTGGAAGTGTATCACCTGTTCCTTCACTGTCACTGGGTCAAAATCCTGGAACTGACTCCCTGACAGCACTGTGGTTGTCCCTACATACCAAGGACCACAGTGTTTGTTAAGAAGGTAGCTTGCCAGAGCAATTTAAAGGCAATAAATGCAGGCTTAGTTAGGGATGCTCACCTCCCATGAAGCAACATGAAGAAAGCTGTGCTTAAAGGTCATTTATCAGTGTTAACGCTTCAGGTCAATGCTTTAAGTAGTCTTTAAGCAAATGGGTGTTACTGATGGTGAGTGTGGTATCTATGGAAGGATGAGTTTAGTTAGTCTGAATTGCTTTCCTCACTCCCCTTATCTTGATTTTTATGGCCTCTATTAGTTGCTCTGTGATTGCTTTCCTTGGGGAACTGGACTTCACTGAATTAGAAGTAATTAACTAGCTTGAAGGTCTGGCTTCAAATCCACATCTCTAGTTTTGCTTTCTCACTTTCTGTTGATTTGCTCCTCACAATGTTTCATACTGAGACCAGTGATTCTCTATCCCGTCATTTCGGTCTGGGAGGTGGTTTGGGTGTCTCATTTGCATACTTTCTCACTCCTGTGGAAGAGATTCTGATATGTTGTTGGACGACAACTCAGTGGCATGTTTAAAATTAAGGACATGTCAGTAACCGATAATTGCTGTTGGAGGTGAACAGCAATCAAATTGTCATGTTCTATAGCATACTGCAAATGGATAATGCTGTGACGTGACAACATGATGTATAGACAATGATCAAGATTGCAGAATGGTTATCGGCATTTCTAAGTCTAGTGTATAACTGTACTCGTCCTTATTATCCAATATCGTCAATGTATTTCAATTTGACAATGCCATCTACCTAGGGCATTTCATTTCTGATATGGGTCACCTGGAGACCGATTGATTCACGACCTACAGATCTTTTGACATGTGGGGCAGGATGTCCCATGAGGTAGTGGAACTTGGGGTGCAGGATTTTCTTCCGCTTCTTTCCTAACACTGTGCCTCATAATTTGGACCTGAAGCATGATTCGTCTTAATGGGCAAATATTGCCATTTTGAATGATCTGTAGCAAGCTCCTGCAGTCACTAATATCAATACCACTTCTCTGATCTGGTGTTAGATCTCCTTGGCAATGGTGGCTTTCTGAGAGAAGTGACTGGTGAGATATGGGAAGTGCTGAACATACACTTGAGTCTCTCCTTCAACATTATATACTGGAGGTGGACTATAACTGAACAGATGTGGGTTAATGTGTTTGGTTTTGGCAACATTCTGGACAGGCCAAGTCTGTAGAACTGAAGAGATTGTGTAGTGCAAATCTACTGCAAAGTGGATAATGGCATTGCTGTCTATCTGCGTAGTGTAGGTCATTTGTGTGTGTGTGTGGGGTCACTTCACCTCCTGGGTTATGCAATTTATAAGAAATTGAAATCTTTATCATAAAATTACTTTCACTGGAATATTGTATCTTGAAACAGGTCATTGAATTTATGTTTTGCCCTCATGTTGCTGATTCCATTTTTTGCTTCACAGACGTGCCCACTTGGTTAAAGAGTCTTCGGCTACACAAGTACGCGTCTCTCTTCTCTCAGCTAACCTACGAGGAGATGATGACCCTGACCGAACACCAGCTGGAATCTCAGGTCTGTTTATAATCATTTTATAGAGTCACATGCACGGAAACAGACCAACGCGTCCATGCCAACCAAATTCGCCAAACTAAATTGGTTCCACTTGCCTGCATTTAGCCTATATCCCTCTAAACCTTGCCTATTCATGTACCTATCCAAATGTTGTAACCGTACCTGCATCTTCCTGTATACTTCCTCTGGGAGTTCATTCCACACATCAGCTACCCAGTGTGTGAAAATATCGCCCCTCAAGTCCCTTTTTAAATTTTTTCCCCTCTTGTTAAAAATATGCTCCCCTAGTTTTGAACGCCCCCGCCCTAGGCAAAAAACTTCTTTGCTCTTCATTTTATCCATGCCCCTCATGACCTTAAACCTCTATCAGGTCACCCGCTCAACCTCCTACATTCCAGTGGGAAAAGGGTCCCAGCCTGTCTATCTTTTCCTTAACTCAAACCATCCAACCCCAGCAACATTCTGATAAATCTTTTCTGAGCCCTCTTCTATTTAATAGTATCCCTCCTATAACAGGGCAACCAGAACTGTACAAAAATTTGCGATAATTGTATGAATTAAACCTCAAATGATGGAAGTAAAATAAGTTACAGCAGAGGATTTTAACTATTTTAAGCAGCAAGGACTTTGGTCGGGCCAGATGGAAAATTAGACAAGTGTAACCTTTTGGGAGAATGCATTTAGGGCTAATTAGGCTGCTCAAATAAGGGATTTAAAAACAATTAAAAATGGGGAGCAGGGCATTTTAATTCGTTTTCCTCCTTTTTCTTCTTCCTGTTTTCTTCACTGCTCCCTTCTCCTCCCACTTTTTTCCAACTCGTTAAATGTCTTTTCTATTTCTTTATGCAGAATGTCACAAAGGGAGCACGGCACAAAATAGCCTTGAGCATTCAGAAGTTACATGAACGACAGGGTGTGCTGAAATCCTTAGAAAAGGTAGGTTGAGTGTTTTTCCCCCAGTTGCTTTCCCTCTGCAAGTAGTGGATATAAGCTTATGGATAAAATCAGGCCTCTGACTTATCTCCCAAATGCCCAATTGTCCTGTGAATCTAGGCTGAATATTGACATCATACATCCAACTTGAATGTTGCTGTTCTTGATCCTGATCTCTGGTGTTCACATCCCCTTTTCTGCAAGGGGCATTGGAGAGTGTTCAAGAGCAAGAATTTCTTTCCTCGATATTTGGCTCCCCCGAAGCACTGAACTGACTGCAACGCTCAAACTTTCATTCTGTTTATGATTAACTACCAATGCTGTCTTGGCATGGGATCTTACTGCAAAGTGTGGTGCAGTAACACACTGAGCCATAGTATCTGAGGAATATTAGTGAGATGAGTTATGTGTTTCTGATGAAAGGCGTTTCTCCCTGACATCTCTGCATCTTGACACCGCAGTAATTGAGAGCTTGATGAGCACAGTGTCCTCCTGACTGAAGCTCAGTAGTCATGACCAAAGCAAGTAAAAGTAAAAATTAACCTCCTTGAGACTGTACAGCTCATCATTCTGGTATAATACTTCTGTTTAAAATCTGCTGGTTTTGTTCCGATGTATGAGTTTCTGATGTCCTCTAAACCCTGTTAGGAATATCTCCTCTAACATGAGGTGTTTACTGCTTTATCAATAGTCTGCATAATATCAGTGAAGTCAAATGTATTGTTATGCAATACCCCAGTAGACTCAGTTATAGAACATGTATTCTATAATACACCAGTTAAACTTGTATGAAATGTCTCAATCTGCAAGTCTGTATCAGAGTTTTTATTTCTTCTATGTCCAGATATCTCTAATGCACCATTTGCTGATGGTTCTTTACGTGAGACTGTGTACCATATAAATAACAAGTTGTTAATTTCCCTTTCTGCAAATGTGTTGTTGTTTTTTTTTTTTGCGGTACATAATGCTAGGCATCATTTTGTAGTACCATTGTAATGATCTGATTTGCTGTCCTGGCTAAAATCAATGGATTCTGTCAGACCAGGAATCTTTTGGTCTTTACAGTTTGGAACGTTCACACCGCAAGAGATGTATTGAATCCCTACAGGTGTGGAAACAGGCCCTTCGGCCCAACAAGTCCACACTGACCCTCAAAGCATCCCACCCAGACCCATTCCCTATAACCCATTTAATTTACACACCCCTGAGCACTATGGGCAATTTAGCATATCCAACCCACCTAGTCTGCACATCTTTGGACTGTGGGAGGAAACCCACACAGACACGGGGAGAACGTGCGAACTCCACACAGCCGCCAGAGGGTGGAATCGAACCCGGGTCCCTGGTGCTGTGAGGTGCTAACCACTGAGCCACCATGCCGCCAGTAACGCTTGTTTGGAGCTGGCTTGGTGGTTTTGTTTGCATCAGCACTTGGATTCTAACTTGACTTGACTTGCCCCAATTACAAAAAGTTACTATGTATCAGATCTTCAAACAGACTTAGCTATTACTCACACTAACCTAGCTATTAATAGCTAAAAGTGGGCACTATTTTTCTCCTTGAGATTGGGGCTTGGCTTTGAACCTGTCTTGAACTGATGTGCTAAACCTGTGCTGCACCTCTTAGACCTCAGCTGTGTGAACCTCAACTCAACATCTAGTAAACTCCAGGTCTGTCGCGTAGAAGTGTGGTTCTACATAGATATAGCTCTATTCTGTTTTGCTGTCATTCGCGTGAATCGTGTGCGCAAATATTAACTTGTTTAGAACACCGCTGCTGGCATAATTCAAACACCGCAAAATCATGAAGAAATTTTTGAAAATCATTTCTGTATATAATCCAAGGAGCCCAGTGATTGAAGTAATGAGTATTTGCTATACTTTCAATAGGACATTCTTGAGGGAGGAAATCTTCGAAATGCCCTCCAGGAGCTGCAGCAAATAATTATAACCCCAATCAAGGCTTACACAACACCTCAAATGACCCCCAAAGACGGTCACGAGACAGGCACCAATAGCTCCTCCAATACTATACCTGGACTGGGCACAGACAGCCGAACAACCAAAACAGCTGCTGAAAAGGATTCTACATCTGATGGTTTTCAGTCCCAGAGTGTGTCAACATGTGATGGAGAGTCAGCAGCAGCTCCTGTATCTGAAGGTGATATTCCTGGACAGTTCACCAGAGTCATGGGGAAAGGTTAGTTCTCAACTTCTTTAATTATGGAAGTCTGGGGATAGCTAAGTAGGATTAAAGAGTGATCCGTGCCTTCAAGAATCGAATGAATTTCTGAAAGTAAAGGAAACAAAAGTGGAAATGTGATTACAAGTAGTAAGGTTCATGGTTTGTATTCCAGTCCTTATAGCAAGATGAAAAGTTTCAACATGTCTCCTTTTAGTTTGGTTCTACTAGGATTACAATCTGCAATGGGTTTTTTTTGTATGCACTGAGTCCTTATTGTCTCTAACTCTTAATTTTTGACTCTGCTGCCTTGTGGTACTTCATACAGTCAAGACAGCATGGTAAGGATATTGGGGAAAGCTGTTGCTTATAAAGTTAACCCCATCTTGCTGCAGATTGCCAGATAGCGTTCAGGGCTCAGGCTTTTTTAATTTCCTTCGTTATTAATAATTCTGCATTTGGGCTATTCTGTACAGTTTTAACTATCTTGCCTGCAAAGAGCATTGCAGAGGGCTTGGAAAAAACCAGCACATCAGGCATTTGGAGGATAAAGGTAGGGCTGAAATGGGCTTTTAGGATGTTGATATGACAAACTTGTTTTGTGATTGTTGCCTCCATTTTGAAAGGGTCTCTATGTTTGATTTTGTAAACCATTGCAGGTATTAATTACAGCAAATGTGGGCAAAGTGGTATTCCATAAAAGGAGCATATTAGAGAAGTTACAGCACAGAAAGAGGCCATTTAGCCCATCAATTAGACACCAGCTGAATAAACTAATAAACATTCATTTTAATCCCACTTACCTGCACTTGGTGCACCGCCTTGCAGGTTACAGCATTTTAGGTGCAAATCCAGGTTCTTTTTTTTAAGTGAATTGTGTTTTCCACCTCCACCAGACAGGGAATTCTAGAAACCCATTACACTCTGGATGTCCCTTCTATTCTTTGTATCGGTCATCTTAAATATGTGCCCCTGCTGATTGATCCCTCTGTCTTTCCTGTCTACCATAGCCAGACCACCCCTTGACTAATTCACCCTTCACCCTTCACCCACTTTTCTAAGGAAGACAACTCTGGTCTGTCCAGTCTTGCCTCATACCTGCAGTTTTAAAGCTCTGGCAATGCCCTTGTAAATCTCCTCTGTAATCTCTTCAGAGCATTTATGTCCTTCCTGTCATGTGGTGGCCAGAATTGTGCGCACAACTCTAGATGTGGCCTAACCATTGGCTTGTTTAGCTCCAGCATTGCATTCCTGCTCTTATTCAATATCTTGCTCAATGAAGGAAAGCATCCCATATGCCACCCTTATCTACCTGTCTTTCCACCTTGAGGGACCTATGAGCATGCACTCAAAAATCTTTTACTACTACTACCCCTTTTGATACCTTCCTGTTTATTGAATACTCCTCTTGTTTGTTTTTGCCCTTCCTGAATGCATAATCTATCTTCGCCAGATTGAATTCAATTTGCCACGTTTCTGCTCACCCAGCTGTATCATTGACTTCTTCCTGAAGTCAACAGCCGACCTCTTCACTATCAACTACCTCAACAATTCTTGTCTGCAAATTTCCAAATCATGAACAGGCTCAATAGTGTTGATTGCACCTGTATTATCTCCTCCTTTCCATCAGTGTTGAAATCAAAACTCTTTCCTATGCCTTCTACTCCAATTAATCTTATCACCCGTGGCTCCAAATTGTAATGCTCATCAATTCTCTTGATATTTTGTTCTTCTGAGAATATGCTGACTTTAAAACCTAAGCAGCTAATCACTGCTTCCTCGGGGGTTCACTTCCTTTCATTTGACAAGCATTTGGCTTGTCATTTAGATTGCTCAATAGCCTTGTCCTATGTTTTCCTGAACCCACGGGTTGAGTTCCTGCCGTTACTGGGAGAAAACGGGTTAAAAACAGACTGTTGTGCATTATGACATTAACAGAGTTTCTAGCAGTAGATGCTTGAGAAGAAGGTGAAAGAATGCAGATTTTGTTTTTTCATGGATTTTAGCTCGGTACAGACTTCATTTTCCTTCTGCCTTGTTTTCTACAGTTTGCACTCAGCTGCTGGTGTCCAGACCAGATGAAGAAAATATAAGCTCTTACTTGCAGCTCCTAGAGAAGTGCCTGGCTCATGAGGTGAGTAGTTGTGCGTTATAATGGGAGTGCCATCCTGTGTTAAAGGCATGAGATGGAGAAATGCAATGGGGGTTACCATTCTGTGCTAATGATCTGTCCTTGAAATGTCCCTTTACAGTGACTTGAACTGTTTTCCTTTTTCAGAAGAGACTCCAGTTCCCATGTTCCGTTCTGAGTCCAAACTAATAACAATGGCCTTAATAGAATCTGAAAAGTAGAAAGGACTATTGATCCTTGTCAAACGTTTTTCAAACCACCTCTTGTAGGACCAAAGAGCATGCTTTTATATTGTAGCTTCCAGAATGTCACAACGTGATTTGCAGCGAATAGATTATTTCTGAAATAAAATTCCTTGCTTTGTCCATGGCAATTAACTAGCACACAGCAAGATTCTGCAGGTCAGCAGTAGAATGAATAACCAAATTTTGTTTTTGATTAAGGGGGAAGTTGTTGGCCAGGAAACCAGGACAACTCCCTGTTTTTCTTTGGATAATATATTCTAATATTTTGCATCCTCTTGAATTGGTCAACAGGTGTTTGTATTAATGCTTCATCCGGTAGCACTGCCTCATTGTTAATGTTGGATGTATCAGCCTGAAATTATGCATCGTATTGAAGGTTGTTGCCATAGCATTCTCAATTTTCAGTCAGATAGTTATCTGTGAGCTAAGCACGCATGCAGACTTGAAGATTGGTGTATGGTTTCTGGGTTCAAAGGATTCTGAAATGTCACCCAATTGGCCATTCCTTATGTTTTGGATGAGCCTGCAGATGGATCTTTCCAGTGAATCACTAGATAATCATCAAAGGCAAAACCCCCAAAGGTGAATCTTTATGACTAGCCCTAGAATGTTGTCCCAAGTCACCTCATGCCTTTTAAAATGCATGCTAAGGTCTGCTGATTCACCACGTACAGGACTTTTTCTCTCTGAAAAACTGATATTTATCACATTGTCTGATACAAGTATGATTAAGCAATTCAAGCAATGTTTGCAATTCAGTATGACGTAATCTGACAAATTCTGAAGCATAGAATTTAATGCATTTCATTCATGCTAATTGTTCCTTTTTCTATAAAACAACACTTTTTTTGTTTTAAATCTTCCCACCCTTAGCAAAGACTTTCTGGAATAGTTCCCCACCCATCCCCAAATTAACTGTTCTTCCTGACACACTGTGAGCTAGGTGTGTGGACTAGGACATGGGTTTTCTTACAGTTAATGGGGAGTACTGTGGAATGACTCTTTTTAACACTGATGGAAGACCAGTGTGATTCATCGGGGTGCAACCTTGCAACGATTCCTACCTGACCACAAAAATGTGACACTTGTTAACTGGCTAGTTTTCCTTGTGTCTATTTGCAATAGCACTGCCCTGCTCCAAATATTCTGCCACAATGCAAGGAACACCCATTACTTTACTTTATATGAAGGACAGCAAAATGAAGCAGTCTGGAGTCATGAGCGATTTAAGTGAAAATCAGTAACATGGACATTGCTCAAACTGTATCTACTCCTTTTGAATCCCATTTGTGTAATTTCAGGCTTTTACTGAAACACAGAAGAAAAGGCTATTCTCATGGAAGCAGCAAGTGTTTAAACTGCTGAGGTCTTTTCCTAGGAAGGCCTTGCTAGAAATGCCAGGTGTTCGGCAGAGAAGGTAAGTTTTTTTTTTTTTTTTTTTTTTTTTTTTTTT